GGTGTTAGCTTGCGACTGTGAAGATGTACATCGAAAGCGTAGCCCATTTTCACCCGAAACGCGGAAGCACGTCTCGTGGACTGCGTTAACCGGAACGTGGTAGCAAAGTCAAATGGCTGTTGTCTTCTGGTGTGGTCGAATTTAGAAGCCCTCCTTAATGCACTTTCATACGAAATGAGAGCTTGCTCAAAAGTAAATATTTAGTGCAAAAATGTAACAGCATTAAACGCTCAAGAGTTATAGAAATATAATTTTAACCTTTGATTAAGGTTGCCAAAAACAAAATTATATTCATGGATAAATAAACATTTATAACTTACTTTCTTATAAAGTATTCGGCAAGCCAAATCACATTGGAAATGTTCCTCGAGTTCAAAAATGTCCTTATTTCTGGATTGGATTCCCTGAAAGACAAAAAGATAAACATCAAAGGTTGCAACTATATTTGGTCACAGCAATCACTAAATAGATTGTCGAGCATGTGAATCCTGTCATGTAGTGTGGCAAGTTATGAGAAGTTTAATTTGACATAGTTGAGTTCTTACGTTTGCCAATCAAATGCAACCTGTCCAGTATCGCATAAACAGTTTACAATTTCACGTAAACCCAAACTACACCAGCATTCACATTAGGACTCGGTTCCTATCCATTATTGCACGAGGTGGAGCCAAGATGGTAAGTAAAAATCTTGCGAACCATAACGAAAAGTTAAGCTTCGGAGAATCCCTGAATATACTTTCGTTGGTATAACTTTCATCTGGTTCAAAAAAACGACTGGAATGGATTCGTATGTTGGTCTTACCGACAGCCTACGGAGGATTGTTTCACAGCAGTGACTGTAGATTTGTGCGATTGAGCGCTCGAATCCCTTAAATTCGCCCCTTCGAATCAAACAAAAGACATACCAAGAAAGGGTGTAAGCAAGAAACCTGTGCATCAGTCATTTTCTGGTCGAAGCAGAGAGCGAACTCGAGCCGTCAAAGGCGGCTAAGCTGCGAGGTTGGGTAAATGTTGCAATTCGGTACGGCAGGAAGCGTAAAAAGACACCGATTTCATGGCCACATGCAAATGGAAGAGATGCTTATGGATGAATGCCAATGTGACCTGTCGAGTGAGGTCCACAATGAGGATAAAAGTTGGCGTCTAATCCGGCCCGCAGACATGTTATGCTACAAGAAGATTGGACCTTTCAAAGCAAACGCACGTAATGGGTGTAAGAGAAGTGCTGATCTGCGAACTCTTACCAACAGGACGGGTCAACTTCGTCAGCGCCCAAATGGATGTACTCATCAATGAAGAGGTCCAGCACCTCCTGGAAGAGTTTGGTCAACAGGTCATAGGTGCTATTGACAATGGGATTCAGTGGGCCGTAATGGCTAGCCCAAGGGCGATTTGATTCGAAACACTTGGTTGCGATCTCTGGATGCGACCGACTCCAGCTTCGCGAATGACCTATGCAGGGTATGAAAGGCAAAGTTTTTGAAATCGTCAACAAATATGCGCATAGAAACACACGTGAGCGGAAAAAAGGGATATGAAAAAGAAATGAAAGATTTGCACAAAAGAGACTCAATTTTAGGCATGTTTGGGGATGAACAAATATGGCCCGGCCTAGATCTCTCGGATCTGATTATTGTGAAGGATGTTAATACTTTTGCGAAGAAAAAGTTGGGTTTCGAGGAATCTCTTGTTTGATAAATGTTGTGTTTAATTCCATTTCGAGTGAAAGTGTGCAGTAAAGAGATTCGAAGTCCGGTTCCACCTGAAGAT